AGGACACCCTGCTTGCTTCACAAGTGCACTGAAGTGATCACCTTCAGACTAGCCCATGCTGGGAATCAGTCACTCTTAAATTAAAACAGGCTTGCTCAGCTCTAGCATTTGCACTTCGGTCCTTAGATGCTGATTGTTTTACACCATACTTGAAAATAAGCTTTTCAAAGTTTTCCTTTACATCAGCTCATGTGTGACTGGCAAATACAACAGTCAACATGGCAATCTCCAAGAGGTCTGTGATGAGCCAGGCCCCAGACAGGAGCAGCAAGAAGGTCTAGGGCACGACCAGTCTAATTGACAAAGAAATCTGCCTATGACGTACAGAGAGCTGGTTGTTCTATTTACCTCTGGTTGGCAGAGAGCAGAAAGGTTTTCCTCACACTTTTCCCTCCACAGCCTTGGCAGCACAGAATCTGTTGTTTAACAGACATCCTCTTCCTCATCAGCTTTTGCCAACAACAACATCACGCTGACAAACCTTGACAACTTCACAGCTGCCCCCGGGGTCAGAACAGCAAAGTCCATCATCTTCCTCTGCTGAGAAGGCCATCAGCAGCAGCACCACTCCCCACTCAGCTCATCACTAGGACTACATTTTCACCAACAGTGGCTGGAAACTTTAAGCTCAATTGTACTGAAGCCAAAGTTTATGACCCCAAACTTTCCAAAAGCAGCATTCTCACAAACCCTTTTTCAATGACAGGTTTGCAGGTGGTTTCTCACTCCCAAGGAAGCAGCAGGTAGGAAGCACCCCACTTCACTCCAGCCTGCTGGCAGCAGAGGGCACCACACAATCACCGATGTGATTTATACACTTCCATCATGCTCCTGAGTTAATTTATAGAGCACAAATTACTGCTACAACAAGCTACAGGGCGACTCCATAAAGCATTCATCATATCAGATAAAAACGCACTGCCACGAAAGGCAGCTAATTTGCTACAGTGCTTTCAGCCAGCAATTCACAGAAAAATGTTCAAGCTTAGTATCTCTCCGAGTTCAAATGCCACATTCCCAGAACAGCAGGTGGCACACAGAGTGAGGATCTCCAGCCTGACCACAGAGGTGCAGAGCAGTATCTCTGCAGAGCACCAGAAGTCATGTAAATACTTGCATGAGCCCAAACATCAACCACCAGCCCACAACCCAACTCATCCGTGGTTTCCGTACTGCAACGCTACACACACATCAATTAAACATTTTGGCTGAGGATGCTCAGCAGTCTCTGAGGTAGACAGCAGAGATCCAGGAGACAAAAGGAATAGCTGCATCTCTTTTGCTGCTTCTTCCCACCCCCACACCTACAGATCGTATGTTTTTACTTATTGAATACTTGTTAAAAAAAGAAAAAGATGAAACGACAGAAAAGTCAATCTGCATTCCACGAGCACACCGATACACTCAGAGCGGTGAGCAAACAGGGCAGTCATGAAGTCTAAGGAGCTTCTAAGCTGTCAGCAAAACACTTCAGTACCACGATACCACCATCCACAGTTAAAGCCAAACCTGTTACCCACGCCATGAAAAAAGGACTTCCCAGATCATCTCCTTTGCTGAGTGACTGTACATAGTGGCAGAGGCCACTTCTGAGCACACAGCTGTACTGAGGATTCACTCAACGCACCAGCTTTTCTGAAGAGATCTGCAGGACGACCTTGAGGCCAAGACCTTGATGCCTTAAGGCCATCCCTTCTCTGCAGAGCAAAAAGGGCCCCACAGAGCTGCAAGAGAACAAACCCGAAGGCAGAAGGAAAGAGCACAGACCTCACCCTCCTTATTAAAGCAATACACTATTTTCAACCACCATAATGTTTCCCCTGAACATGTAAATACAGAGGCAATTAGCTGTCTAGGCACTTCCACAGAAACCATTTAGAATAATCTTCCCTAGAATATATTTACATGGTTTCTGATTGCTTAATTTTCTGAACATTTGTTACAGACGCTAGAAAGATTAAATAAAGCAAAATCACCTATAGTGATATATTGCCATTCTGAAGGTAGCATGCAGCACAGATAGACAACAAAAACTCCTAGCTGGTTTCAAACTTCAAAATTTTAGCATCACAACTCAATGCTCTAGGAATTGCTTTATAGCTTTAATTCAGCTGTTTCTTAAAACCTTTTCCCCCCTTTGCTGTTACTCTGAAAGATAAAACTACTGACTGAAACAGCAGACACCATTTAAAGAGAAAGAATGAGCCTGGACAGAGATTTCATTGAGAAGCTCAATTCTGCAGTACATAGGAAATGTCCTCAATTCAAAGATTAGGCTTCACAAAAAGGCAAATTAAAGCCAGAAACAGAAGAAAATCTTTTCTGACTGCTATGAATATAATTTTTTATTATTATTGCCTCCTCTCATCTGGAGTTTTTTTATTAAGAAGTCAGCTCTTCTGAATGGCTACAGGAACAGGCAGACAAACAGCATATTCATTTACAAGCTGGAAGTTGATTAGTAAGTACAAAACCCATGAATGCTTGTCAGGACCAAAGAAGAGAGGCTGGAATCACTGAATGTGAGGATGCCTAAAAAACTCTCTGCAGTCAGCTGGCAGATACCTCTATGACAACAGTAAAACAAACCCACACAACTAAACAGAAAAACAAAATCCCATTTAGTTTGTTTTTATTCTGCTTCATTTGAAATTATTTTTACCAAGACAGCCCATTGTCCTTTAGGGTATGTTTTCCCTTGCTCAGTGTAACTAGAGCTATCATTGCAGGGCCAAATCCTTCAAAAAACCAGGCACATGAAACAAGTATATCTTCACTCACAGACCCCCTGCAGCTCATAACTCCACGTTAATTAGACTGGAAGATGAAGCCTTCAGCCTAAAACCCAGTAAGTCTGATTTATACAAGTGCAGAGAGGCTTTATTGCAAATTTTCCTGCTGTACAGACATTTCCCGCCCAGCTCAACACACCATCAAAACAAAAGCAGATCTCAATTCACTGACAGCTGCCACACTTTAAAGAGACATAGAAAAATGGAGTCGACATTGTGTACAACAGGGGCAGCACAGGATGTCTAAATACTGAGAACACTGCACAGACACAGGAACCAGCAGTGAGGTACTGCCTGGCTTCCAGCTACCCAAAGCCCACGGCACAAGGACAATTTTGGAAGACCAAAAATATTAAAAGTCAGCTTGTCACTTTGAAGCCCCCTAAGAATAATTACCAACTTTCTCCTCATTACCTCTGGAGGACACATGATTTTACAATGGTGTTCATTTCGCCAGAACACCACACCACGTGGAGCCATGGAACAGGACCACGGGGCTTGATTTCTACCAGTCAGGCAAAATAGATTCCCTGCATCCCATGGAAATACAAGTATAAGGCAGTAACATCAGGAACACCAGGCATTTAATGACCACCGTGTGTGTCAAAGGGACTTCTGTGCAGGTCTGAGGATTCTCTACAGATTTTATGCTTTATGGCAGGCAACAGCTGAACCCTTTCCCTACCAGCATGGGACATTACAAAGCTATAAGCATAGTTATATCCAGACTTGCACGAAATGCTTGAATTTGAAAAAGCATTTCTTGTGGGAAAGAAGAACTCAGTCCCATTTTGACTACAGCTCTTAGAGAGCCTTCTCTCCCTCATAGCAGAAATTGTCACAGCAGGTTTCTCCACCTTTATGGTGCAGTTATAGCAGCAAGTCTCCAAGGAGGGAAAGATTTAGGCAACTAAGAGTTTTAAGTGGTTTTGAACAAGCAAAGCCTTGGAGAGTGACAGCTGAACTGATAGTTACACACCGACAATTTAAGCTTTCAAGTCCCAATCACTCTTAATGATACAAAGCCAAACCCAGAAGGGGACAAAGCAATTACAGAGCCAAAAGTAAGTGCAGCTAAATGGAGCTTCCAAACGTCTAATTTGGGTGATCTAGCCTTCCTGACTCACACACTATGCAGAAAGCTTTGGCTGTTTGGCTGTTAAATTTACTACTACACCAGTGGGACAAGAAAGGAATGTGTTACAACATCCTCGGGCCACGTATCCAGCAGTCATCCTCTGCCTCTAAGGGAGAGTTATCCGCTTCTCTTTTCCCAAAGGAGGATCACTCCACTGACATAATCTCCAAGCTCCACCTGGTACTTTCTGCTAGCCCTCGCCCTAAGCTCAGCTGCAACAGGTAACAGGTGGTGTTTGCTCTCCACACCTTTCCAAAGCAGGTGAAGAGACGTGGCAGCGAGGCACACCCTTAGGAGGTGGAATTGCTGTCCTTTCCTATGCCAGGATGGGAGAAGCTCCCCTTCCTTACTCCTCGGCGCAAGAAGCAAAGACCTTGCTTTACTCCCTTACCGAGCTCAGCCAAAAAAACCCAAAAAACCCAAAAAGCAAGCAGAGCCTCCCCGTCCCCGCAAGAAAGTACAGGCGCTCCCCGTCCAACCTCCCGGGCACGGAACGGGGAAAACAGTTCGGGATGGGGAAAACAGCTCGGGATGGGGAAAACAGCTCGGGATGGGGAAAACAGCTCGGGATGGGGAAAACAGCTCGGGATGGGGAAAACAGCTCGGGATGGGGAAAACAGCTCGGGATGGGGAAAACAGCTCGGGATGGGGAAAACAGCTCGGGATGGGGAAAACAGCTCGGGATGGGGAAAACAGCTCGGGATGGGGAAAACAGCTCGGGATGGGGAAAACAGCTCGGGATGGGGAAAACAGCTCGGGATGGGGAAAACAGCTCGGGATGGGGAAAACAGCTCGGGATGGGGAAAACAGCTCGGGATGGGGAAAACAGCTCGGGATGGGGAAAACAGCTCGGGATGGGGAAAACAGCTCCTTCCCCGGGAACACAGCAGCCCACCGCCGATCCCCCTCCCTCGCCTCCTCCTCTTTGGGGGCGGCCGCCGCTCCTCGCCCCCCATCCCTGCCGAGATGCCGGCGAGGGACGCGCCCAGCCGAGCGATGGAGCAGCCCCCTCCATCCCTCCGGGACTCGCAGGCAGCGGCTCTCCCCCCCACCCCGTGCCCGCCACTCACCGGAGCCTCGCCCGCCGCTGCCCCCGCCGCGGCCGCCCCGTCCGCGCCGCCCTCCGGCTGCCGCTCGCGGTACAGGGACCACAGCCCCACGTTGGGCAGGAACACCAGGGCGGCCAGCGCCAGCCCCACCGCCTGCAGCAGCCGCTTCTGCTTCCGCCGCATCGGGGCGAGGAGCGGGGATGGAGGGGATGGAGAGGAGGGAGCGGGGACGGAGCCGCCGCCGCCCCCGCCGCGCTCCCGGAGCGCAACTTTCGGCGGCGGCGCCGGGCGGCAACTCCGGCACTTCCGCTCCCAGCGCGGGGAGGTGGGCGGTGCCTGCGGGGCGGGCGGTGCCTTCAGGCACCGCCCACCCCGCAGGCACCGCCCACCTCCCAAAAAAGCCCCGCCCCCCGCTAATGACCTTCTGTTAATGACCCCCCACGGACACGCAGCAACCGGTGGGGACAAGGTTCCTGTCCACTAAGAACTCCGGGGATGGAGATGCCGTTCCCGGCCATACCGTACCGCTCCGAATCAATCCCCCATCCCGTTAAAAGGGGATGCCAACTTAATTCGGATGCTCTTAATTCGGATGCCAACGAAGCGGTTTCTGCTATACCGTAAACTGGATGATTTGCGGGCGCAGGGTAGTGTTTTCTTGGGGTGTGTTTTTGGGTTTATTTGGAGGCTTGTTATTGTTTGGAGTTATTTGTTTGTTTGGTTTTAGGTTGGGGTTTTTGTTGGTTTTTGGCTTGTTTGATTTTGCTTTTGTTTTGGTTTTGGGGGTTTTGGTTTTGTATTTTTTTTGTTTGTTTTTGTTTTTGGGTTTTTTGTGTTTGTTTGTTTGTTTGTGGTTTTTTTTGTGGTTTTTTTTTTTTTTTTTTTTTTTTTTTTTTTTAAGAAGAAAGCAATGGCACCACAGCTCTCCCAAAAACGGGGAGCGGATTCGTTCTTGACAAAGAGCAGCAGCCCCCGGTGCTCAGGAAGATGCTCTGCCAGCAGAACAGCCGCGGCTCGGCTGTGTCAATAGCAAAGCTGTGACGATCCGGTGCCCTGCTGGGCACTGGTAAAATAACTATTAGTTCTCTTCCAATGCAGACCCCCGCAGGGAAGTATCTTATTTCCTAGAGCAACAACAAAAACTCTACGTAAACCCGTTACGTGCCCCAGCATTTGCAGCTCTTGCCACCCTCACCCCACACCAGCAAGTGGATTTTAAACTTAAATAAACTTCCATAACCCGCTAGATGGCATCTTCCAGCAGATTTCAGTGCCTGCTGCGAGACCCAAATTGTAAAGGAAAGCATTTAATTTAGAGAGCAGGTTAGAGTTCCTAAGTCTAACTACACGTTAAGGTAGCTCGTGCTTTCATTTTAATTATCGATGAGAATTTGTCACCAGCTGATTTCTTTACTAGAAATGTTAATGCTTCCATTGTTTCTCTGCGGGTGGAGAAGATACCGAGCCATGAAATCCCCTTGCTCCTGCCCTTAGAGCAAAGCATATTCCCTTTATCATCACTGAATCACCTCGGGCAGTGCAGAGACTTCGGCTGCTCTTGAATAATGCATAGCCACTAAAATTGTACAACAATAAAGCTACATATACGTTACCTGATACTGTGAGAATCCAGGCTGGAAAGCTACAGTACCTCTGATTTAATACTGCAGTGTCAGTGTACTGCCATATGGACCCTTATAATAACATCCACATCCCCTTGCCTCTGCAAGAGCTCTTTGAAAAGTGGTTGTGAAATAGCAGGCGGTTTCGTAGGGATGCACACAGGCTTAGAGGCTGCCCTTGGCAGAACATCCTCATTTATATAAAGAAATGACAGCCACCAAGTTCGAGAGTTAATTAAAACAAAGCCACTAGCTGGCTTGACATATGTTTAAATTTAGGATTGTGAGCCTGCTTGCTAAATTAAATGTTTGCCTCATAAATTGACTTCAGAGGAGTTGCACCAGTTTTAACTGGGAACAGATTATGGCTGGTGCTGCAGGTAGATCAGTGTTTTGCATATGTGAGAACATCCCAAACAATCAAACCCTGTGAGGAGTCTTGTAGGAACTGAAGTCTGGCTGCTCCTCGGTGATCACTCTGGAAATGGCTGTTCCAGGTCTTTCCTTTCTGCTTTAAGAGAAAATGAATCCTGTTGGGCTTACCAATTAAAATCATTTATGCTCCATGCAGCTGCCTCAGTCCCAAATAAATAGAAGTTCTTCTAGTAAAGGTAGAACATATTTCCCTCTCCTCTTTCTCCTGAAGTGCTTTGGTGGAGGCAGAGCTCTGATTTTGGCCTGTTGGATGCAATGCCTTGGGGATTAATCTGGTACATGAAAAATAAACATGGATTTACATTTCTGAGAAAGAAGAAAGCCTGTGGCTCTTAAGCCTCTAACTGGAAAGGGAAATGGTGTACCTTCCCCAGGCATCTTTTCAAAACAAATATAGGATAAATTAATAGCAGCTCAATCCCCACTTGGAAACTCTCTTTCCTAGTGAGCTGGGCTGCCTGGTTTGCAACGTGTGTACAAGGCAGAGTGCACCAAAAGTGGGTAATGGCATCATGAAAATTAAAAGCCTTGATGAAGGGTGAGGAGCAGGGGTGACCAGAGGGACTTGGTCAGCAGATGCTGGGAAAGGGCAGGAGAGCATTGAAAAATGCTAATGGGAGTGGATGTGACAGGAGTTCCTGGGATAAAGCCCACAGATGGCATGACAGCATGGAGACGAGATGGCACAGACTTAGGGAATCAGTGCTCTCCTGCCTTCTGGTCTCCTCCAACTGCAGCTCCTCAGGGCAAGGGCTGACTCATGTGAAGGGCTGGATTCTGACCTTGGGACTGTTGCAGGGGATGCTAATGGAAAGCAGGCAGTCCTTTACATACCTGCAAGTGAGCTGAATGGTTATGGGATCCCCCCCTCCCCTGCTCAGTGGTCGTGAGAGAGAGTAGAGCTGGTTTTCCCATACCCTCAGCTGCTGTGCCAGCCTGATAACATGGGTTAGGGGGAGAAAACACTGCCAGAGGGTTGGCATATCTGCAAGGGGGAAATGGGGATCAAAATACCAGATGCTGCAGATAGGTGTTGCCACTGTGGGGGATGGAGCGTGGAGCTCCAGTCCAGGTCTCTGTGTCTGCACAGTGTTCGGTGTCAGATGGCTGCACCCGCGGGGAAAGTCAGCTCCTCCACTTTGGGTAGGTTTTTTGATAGATGTTTGTATGCTGCTGCTGTTTTCTCTTCTCTGCAAATCTCATTTTTAACCAGGAGGAGAAAAGGAAAAACAATCTTTAAAAAATGAATGAACCTCAGCCGTGGCTGTGTCACAACATGGCTTTTGTTTCCACAGCATTTATTTATCCTTCTGTGTTTATTAGTTGAAGTTCAGCTAAAATCTCATGTGAACAGAATTGATTTGTTGGGAGTTTTTCACCCCCCCCTTTTTTTCTTTCCCAATAAAATCCAATGCCCAGGAACCCACTCACCTGTGAGCAGGAGCACAGCTCTCCTCTGCTGCTCAGTGTGGGGGTGCCTGTCAGCACAGCCCCCCACAGTGATCCTGCTGGACTCCCCCAAAACCTGGAGCTGCTTCCAGCCCTCACTCAAGATGCTGCCAGACAACGTAAATGCTTGAGTAGCTCACAGAATCGAGATGATTACAGGCTTTTAAAATGAAATTGCAACATTGTCTCTGCAGGAGAGCACCCAACCCTCTCACCAGGCTTCCCAGGAATGGAAAGGTGAACATCCAAGAAACCTTGTCCCATGGTTGGGAAGCAAAGTAGGGATTTATCTGTGGCATGACTGACCTGGGGGTTTATCTGCATAGGACAGACCTATGCACAGATTCAGCAGAAAAATAAATAAAATAAAAATGGTGATCCACCTGACCAAGCAAAATCTCCAGTGTCAACAGGGAAATCTGCTTGCATTTACTTTGGACAGACAGAGCCCAGCAGTGCAGGGCAGGAGGAGGTGGTTGAAGCTGGATGCTGGTGGAGGACGCTCAGGGTCTTGCTTGGAAAGCAGTGCCATTGCCAGCGGTCCCTCCTCCAGCCTGGTGCAAAGTGGAAGGAGAGACTGGGTCCGTCTGCAGCCTGGAGAGGTGCAAAAGCAACAAAACTTTTGAGTTTCCCAGAGTGTAAAATTTTTAACTCCACTGGCCTTAAATCAGATATTTTCACTGATTGGCTGTGGCAGGTGAAATTGCTGATGCCTAAGTTGAAGCACAGTCCTGGAGGATGAGGCAGTGATGGCTTACTGGGAGGATAAATACTGGAGCAGAGCATGAAGTAAGGAGAGATGTGATGTATCACATTCCACAGTGCATACAGATGCACCAACGTATCCAGAGATTTGCTTTGCAGGGGAACATGCTGTTCCTCAGGAGTACCATGAATCTATTGCCTACCTCTTGGCCAGGCTTCCCAACCATCAGGAACATGAGTGGCTGAAGAGAAAAAGTTCTTACTTCCCTGTGCAGGGTCTGAATCATCCCAGCTCTCCTTTCTGGACTTTGGTGGCCACTGAAGACTCCACTTCTCCAGGCAAAGCTTTGCACAAAGCCACGTCAGGCTGCTTTAGTTCTAGCACTGTTTTTGCAAAGCAGCCCTGACAGTTTGTGTGTAATTGTCAGTGGGGCCCAGTTTAGGGATGAGGAGACAGAGGGTCTATTCCTGGCTGTCTACTCAAGTAACCTTATTTTAAAGGAAAAATGAAAACCGCAACTGTTGTTGCAGTCTTTCTGGCTGGTATAGGCAATGAGCCTTGTCTGCTCCCTCTGCTCTGAATTCAGAGCTGCTGCAATGAATCGGATTGATTCCAAGTCCAGTGGAGCCAGGCAGGCAGACTGCAGTCAAGATGTCCCCAAAACTGCCTGGCTTCCTGGCTTCTCCGAGCACACCGTGAATTTTGAGGCCAACACTTCCCGCGCCTCTCGGGGGATTTGGAAGCTCACGCTCTAATAATTAAGGCAGATTTGAACATCTTAGCCTTCAGCCTCACTTTTCTGACTGTTTCCCGTAGCAGCTGTTAGTGCTTGGAACAGGTACTGACTCTTAAAATGTGCTCACCATGGGCTTGCATGGTTTTAATAAGGAGGATTTTTAAAGGGATCCTCCAATGCATATATGAGAGCTGATTTCAGGGGAGGTTTGCAGCTTTCCTGTGAACAGGATCAGTTTGTGCATCACTGAGCCGAACCTGGAGGACAGGTCTGCTCTTCTTTCAGCTTGCTGGATGCACTCTAGGATGAGAGGAACATTACTGGGGTTTGA